ATTTTCTGGATTTGGCTGACTCTTTTTGTGATGTACTCATTTTTTATTTTTACAGTACTGGGACTGAACCCAGGGCCTTGCACAGGCTAGGAAAGTGGTCTAGTGTTCAACTGCATCCCCAGATCTTTTTAAAATTTATTTTACTTTGAGAATGGGTCTTGCAACGTTACTCAGGATGGTCTCACACTGTGTTCCTCCCGCCTGAGCCTCCTGAGAAGCTGGGATTACAGGAAATTTTTTTTAAAGCTGTATCCAAATTAACTCCACAGTCAACTCATCTGTCCATTACAGTTTGTCCACCCTTCTCCTGAGAGCAGTCTGAGAGCTCTGTTGGGTTCCTAAGATGGGATCAGTGTACCAAGACAGGCAGTCTTTAAGCAAATGAGGGGCAGTATATTATAAAGTTTAATAACTGCCTATGGATTATGGAGAAGAGAGGAAAACACTTGTGATCTACAACCAAAGTGTTCTGGACATGTGGTATTGAAAAGCCTTTAAAATATAAATATATATATATATATATTTGTTTGTTTGTTTGTTTGTTTTTTTTTTGAGACAGGTTCAGGCTGACCTTGAACTCACAGTAATCTTCCTGCCTCAGGGATTACAGGCCTGCAACACCACACAGGGCCTGAATTAATGTATTTTTATAAAACTATCCATCTTACTTCCTTGCATAATATTATAGTTCACTATTAGTCAAAGTAAAATATGAATAGTATTCAGTAAAAATACAAAAAGTATACTTAAGGGAAGAGTAGTAGCCACCTATGACTGGAAGTACAATGTAATTCACTTAGTTTGGTGTGGGACAAAACAAAACAAAAAAATGTTTACTTGAAAAGAATAAAGAACGTGTTTGGTGGGGCTGGGATTTAACTCAGTGGTGCCACCACCTGCCTTGAAAGTGCAAGGTTCTGCGTTCCATCCTGGTACCCACCCCAAAAAAGTAGTATTTTGAAACCATGTTCTCATGAAAAACAAAATATCAGTTAAGTTTCTTAGTCTAATATCATTCTGCTGTAACCCCTGCATTAGCAATTGGATAAGATCTACTGGTAACACAATATGGAACTCATATATCAACAGAGGAGGCTACACTTCCAGGTATAATGTAATGGCTCCAAAGGTAGATAAATATTCCATAGACCTGCGGATGCTTAAGGAAAAGGCTGCCCTACCCTAACCACTTGATAAATGTCTGTTCATCCTTTAAAGCCAGTTTAGAAGGGAAAGTTTTTATTTAAAATCTTTTCTTTAAAAAAGCTTTCTAGAGGGCTAGGAATTTAGCTCAGCTACACAGCGCCTGCCTCGAAAATGTGTGGTGCTGAGTTCAATCTCTGGTACCAAAAACAAAAACAACAACAACAAAAAAACCCTCCAGATTATTCAAATATACAGTATAATTTATAATAATAAGTTATAATAATAAATTATAATAATAAAAATACAATATATTTTTAATTTTTGTGGGGTTTTTTTGTTGTTGTTCCCCTGGTACCAGGGATTGAACTCAGGACCTTGCACTTGTGAGGCAGACATGGTACCACTGAGTTAAATCCCTGGCCCAGTTTTTTTTTTCTTTTTGGAAAGGATCTTACTATGTAGTTCAGGCTGTGAACTTACTATGCAGCCTAGACTGGCCTTGAACTCACAGTGATTCTCCTGCTTCAGCCTTCTGACTGTTGGGATTACAGATGTGCACACCATGCCCAGTATTATTTTAAAATTTTAATTCCTGTCTTTTTTTTTTTTAAACTCTCCAACTCAGTATTTACTGAATACAAATTATGTGGGGTATCATACATCATACAAAGTACAAACAATTCTATGTTCCTGTCCTCAAGATCGAGCCTTTGAGCCTGGTTGAGAAACAGCCTATGCAAACAAAGCAACAATGTAAAATGATAAAATAGATCCTACAGTAATTGTCTGGATAATGGATACAGGGACATACAGACCTATCTATTTGGGAATAAAGGTCAATTAGGAAAAGTTTCAGAGAGGAAGTGATTTCTTTTTCTTTTGAGACAGGATATCGCTATGTAGTCCAGGCTGGCCTTAAACTCGTTACGTAGCCAGACTGGCCTCGAGCTTGTAGTGATCATCCTACCTCAGCCTTCCAAGTGCTGGGACTACAGGTGTGCACCACCATGACTGGAAGGAAGTGATTTCTTGAAAAAGTGACTAAGTTACTTTTCATCTCTAACATGCTCAGAGCTGACATATTGAGACTCCTTGACTCAATTATTTTACTTTTACCCTGCTTCAGATACCCACTCCCAAGTCTGCACACTAAATCATGTGAACATAGGAAATGCCCCACCTCTAATGCTGTTTACTCCAACATTCAACCCTGTGACTACTCTTTCAAATCTTTCCAAATCTTTCACTGTCCTTCACTTCAAGTTCTCGGGGCTCTTGTGTTTCCATTTTACCTTGGTTCACTATTTTCATTTGTTGTATTTTTGCATATTTCTATCGTTATACTATAAAACATTATCATTTATACAAAAATTGATTTGTTTTCTCTACTAAATAGTGACTTTCCATAGAACAACAGATAATGGATTCTTTTTCAGTCCTGCATCCTTAACACCCAGTGTAGAGCCTGACCCATACAGTAGTCAATTCATATTTGGTGAAGAAACAGAACAGTGTTGCAGACACTGTCACCAATATACATAAGTCACTCAAAGACAAAAACCATGCCTTACCGAGATATTCCTACAATTCATACATAACAGAGCCTTATATATCATAATCTCAGAGTATATTTGTTGAATTATAAAAGTGGAGTTGTATTAGGGCATTCATAAGAAATAATATGTTCCCTGCTTTTCATCATTATTTTTTACAATAATTTGGGTTAATCAAATGGTTATTAAGTAAATGTTAAGAGCACAGGCAAAATGATTTAACAGAGAGCACTAGAAGTCAGGAGGTCTGGAGTTGCACGTGGAGCTCCGTGACAGAAAACTTGCCTTACATTTATGAGGTCCTGGGTTCCATTCTCAGCACATACATTCCTCAGCACATACATACACACATACACATGTACATACACATACACACTTAGGAGTCTTGCACTTTGGTGTCTACTTAATTACTAACCATGTGAATCTGCAAATCTAGAAGGCTTAGTTTTCTCATTTATTAAAATGAGGTTTGAACCAGGCATGGTGGTGCATGCCTGTAAACCCAGCACTCAGGAAGGCTGAGTAGGAGGATCACTGCAAGTTTGAGGCCAGCCTGACCTACGCAGTGAGTTCAAGGGCAGCCTGAACTACAAAAGTCCCTGTCCCAAAAAACCCAAAAAAGAAAGAAAGAAAGTTAATTGTAAGAATCAACTTATAGTATCTTGATAAAAGAAATGAGTAGTAAAGGATGACTACACAACTATTAAACTTTACCAAACCTACCTTGTCTCAAATCATTAAAAACAAAAAACAGAATTAAGGAACTAAAATCATTCTCGTTTCCTGAACCTCGTAGGTTAGGAAGAGTATTTCCTCACACCGGAAATTGGTAAAGTCACCCTCACTTGCACAAGTCAGTGGCTGAGCTACCGTTTTCAAACTTGGGTAGAATATCATTGTTAAAGAGTTTTTGATATTCTTAAAGGAAAATTTTATTACCACAAAGATTATATGGCACAAAGCTGCATTAGTGTAACAGTTCTCAAACTTCTTTATTGTTTTTGTTTTTTGTTTTTTTGTTTTGTTGAGACAGGGTCTCACTATGTAGTTGAGACTGACCTGGAACTCACTGTGTAGCCCAGGCTGGTCTCAAACTCACAGCATTCCTCCTGCCTCAGCCTCCCGAGTGCTGGAATTACAGGTGTGTGTCACCACGCCCGGCTGAAAACTATATTTTGGAGTCTGAAAAAATGTTATGACTTCCCTTTTATCTCATCTCTCTTTTCTATCAGCTCCTCCCACTAAATCAAATGAAAACTTCCAAGCTAGGTGACAAAACTGGTTTAGAAAGCTAAAGGTCTGCAGTAGTCAATATGAACTAGAAGTGGCACTGACAACAAAGACTCAAAACATTTCATCTAAAGCTCAAAGTGAAAAAGTTATGTGGAATCAAGTCCTAAAAGCCTTTTCAGAACTTTTCAACTTGACAGAATGACGTATTATAGCTAGCTACCCACCATCACCCTGAGTGACCTCAGCTACTTGAACCACTGTCTCCATAAAAATATAAATTGCAGCTAGGCGGTGGTGTCACACGCCTGTAATCCCAGCACTCAGGAAGCTGAGGCAGGAAGATCGCTCTGAGTTTGAAACCAACCTAGGCCACACAGTGAGTTCCAGTTCAGTCTCAACTACATAGTGAGACCTGTCTCAAAAACAAAAACAAACATACATATACATATACATATATAGATAGATAGCAAAAACTAATTTTGTGGTGCATATTAAAGTCTTTGGGGGAAAGCCACTAGGACATGACCAATAACTACTATTTTGTGACTGGCTTTATACCATGCTTTTAAGGCTAAAAAACACATATACGACCTAATAAAATTTCGTGTTTAGGATTTTCTATGTTGAAAAACAATTAGATTTTGTTATTTACATTTAAGAAAAATATCCACTTCCTTATTTTATGGAGGCAAAAAGGACACCAAAACATTTACTTTCTTTCTTGCCATATAACTTCCTATACCCAAAATTACTACTGCAGCTGGATGTGGTTGTGCACACCTGTAATTCCAGCGTTCGGGAGGCTGAGGCCAGCCTGGGTTACACAGTGAATTAAAGGCCAGCCTGAACAACATAGCAAGACCCTGTCTCAAAAAATACCAAAAAAAGGGGAAAAAATGTCTACAGTGGTGACTGTGTTAACCACTATTCCAGAGTCCTATAATCCACTAAAAGCGAGGCCTTGGTTCTCGATGATTCTTGCAGAATGCAAAGTGCCCTCTTAGTAGACGGTCATGCTGGATAAATAACTCAGTGATAAAGTATCCTGCTGGTCAGGTTCCCACTTACCCTCGGTGACATCCTGGGCATTGGATGTCCGGTCACTGCCAGGATCCAGGGCAACAGTCGCTAGAGAAGTGGTGGCCCCAGACATCTCACTCATAGGCTCGCTACGGCTTGTTTCTGGCACACTTTCCCTGGAGCTAAATCGTACTCGGGAACTAGATCGAGAGCTGAGGTCCGGGCTAGTGTCTGACAAACCTGGAATGTCATCAATCTTTGTTGGTGTCACCATGAACCGAACTGAAGCCATCTTTGTGGTGGTTTCTGGAGGATGCATGTTTCTTTTCCTTTTTGACAAAGAAAAAAGGAAAACGTTGCAAAAATCTTCCTCCTGTGTTAGCTACTTTGGATGGTAAGAATAGAACACTTTAAACTCAATTACCTTAATTCACATCCCTCAAAAAGCCCAATAAGAATCCTTCCACTCAAAGAATTCCAGACAACAGTCCTACAGTATGCACCATAAATAACTAAAAATTCTTTTGAGAAACAAAAAACATAAAAAACAAAAACGATGCCAATCTTGGGTGTAGTTTCGTTCCTTCGGAATGACGAGTTACCTAGTTATGCCCCCTGGTCCAGAGCTGAGGGCGCAAAGCCATGGTCTCACAACAGCAGATGAAAGCCTCCCCCAAACCTCAGGTTCCTGCCAGGAAGTTCCTTTCTCCAGACCCTAGGTTCCTTTATCGGGTGAGGATCCCACGGTTCTAGCTGAGCAAAGTACGTGCAGATCCACCCTGATCAGGTAAACCGAGAGTGGATCAAATCATAAAAAGACGCGCACCCGGCCACCTGTTGTTTATCAGGTGAATACCCCACAGGTCTGGCTGGGAGGAGGTGTGCACAGAGCCACCCGATGTTTTTGAGGTCGATAATCCACTCGGATCTGGTGCAAGAGGTGCGCACGCATAACGGGAGGAATAACCACACTATGGATGGAGGAGAAAGAAAAGGCTGCGGTGCAGGGCAGAGCGTATTCCTGCCTCCGAGAGGTGCGGGGGTGGCGCGCCCGTTCTTCTGGCAAGGAGTCCCTGGATCTGCAGAGGCTGTCGGCCCAGGACACCTCGGACAGCCGCTCAGGGTCGCGGCTAGTTGTCGCCAGGCTCGCTGGGCTTCTCTCGCTTGTGACAGGTCGCACCACCACTCCAACGGGAGACCCTCCCTGCCCGGCCCGGCTCAGGTCAGCACCCACCGCTCTCCCCTCGGACTCAGCAGA